TGTGCCTTCATCCCTCTGCAGACTGTCAGCAGGACCTCCAAGACATCAATATTAATCATTAAATATTGAGAATGGTGCCTGAATCAATGTGAGAAGATCCCCAACATCACACCATAAGATGATCAAATCCATACAGCTACAGGAGCAAATCTGCTCCAGGATAATGGGATGATCAACATTCATAGACTGATAAAGTCAAGTAAAGGTTATACATTTCAAAACCATCTGTTGGACGGAGTTTCAACTACATTCTGTCAGTGTGGAGAAAGTTGACATTTTGTCTGCTGTCTAAGTGCAGTCCATCATTTCTTCCTAATGACACTCTTCTACAGAGTGTGTAAAAAAAAGTAGTAAATTAGTTGGAGAAGGGTGAGTTTCAGTTTCTCCGTTTAGATTTTCAGCTTCAGGGTTTCAATTTCAGCTTAAAGGAAATGGGAGTCTCAAAGCAACTTGACCTGCACAAGAACAACAGTAGTTTGATGTGGATAACCTCATGATAACCAAAGGACTGTAAATTCTAATTTGATGTGGTCGTAGACTCAATTCAGGATAATACCGGCTTTGTTCTGACTGAGATATTCTCTGTTCATACCATTAAACAATTTGACTCCTTCCAACAAGCGACTTAAGACCAAGTTCCAGTTTACACTGTTATTATTCACCACCGACGAAATGAGGAGGCTCAACCCCTGAGAGGAGTGCATATGCATATTGCCACATTATTATGGTGAGGCTGAGAAGAATAGGGATTTTCACAATAAGCCTTTGTGAGGGGAAGTGATACTCATTTTTCAAACTATGTAATTAAAAGAACCCCTTGTATCACTTGGTAGTGATAATATGTTGAAACCTCATCAGAAACATATTTGCCAGTATGTGTATACTACTAACATGATTAAAAAAGTAATGTATGCTCCACTGTAGCATTCAGACTTCTCTTCACTGGAAGCAAATGTTTGATAGTGTATTTTTAGTAAGCTCCCATAACACACTCTTTATTTCACTCTAATACAAGTATAACTTAACGTATTTAAATAATCAAGACGCCAAAACAAAACATTTTTTGTGTGAAAAAAAGAGCAGAGACTATCTTTCACAAACATTAATTTGTTCCTGGACAGCAGCCTAGAAGACTGTTTTAAGTTGGAGATATACCAATTACCTTTGACCCTTTCTTGTGTTCATAAATTGTTGCTGAGCTACAGCCCATCTGGAAACAACAAATTCAGACGTGTCCCCCAAAGCAAAGCAAAGCAAAGCAAAGCAAAGCAAAGCAAAGCAAATCAAATCATTAACTGAGGTGCAAGAAGGCAGTTTTTGGGAGAAGTGAATAAATTCAATTACTCTGACACGAAACAATTCACTCATTTAATATCACATATTGGTGATGCAGAACAATATCCAAAGTTGGATGGAAGTCGAGCATTCATGCGCGAGCTTAAATGTGAATTGTGGAGGAATTCAGCAAAGAGGTGCAGACACCATCACTGCTGCAATTTCACAAAACTGGCTGTGGTGTCGTAATGTCAGGTGTCAGGGGATGAAGTGTGATATCCCGAGGAAGGAGGCAGTTGAAAGAACTTGAAGTTTTAACAGCCAATCAAGATCACAGGGGAACTTGCTGGGTATTCCCAGAATGAACATCACAAACAGGGTGCCACCATGGTCGTAAATTCAATCTAGCCCAAAATAAAATGTCAGGATAGGTAGGCAAGTGAGGCCGCAAGTGACATGTCAGCTCTGCCTTGAAAACAGCATTATAACAAATCAAACCTGGCACCAGCAGCAGAATAAAGGACGCAGGTTTCTTTTTGGAAGCTGGTTTGAATCTCTGGTTGGATCGGATTCAAGAGCACAGAAGTGACAAGAGCAGTTTTTTGCACATTCACTCAACAGGGAAAACACAAACATGTTCATGCATTAAGGAAATTAATCACCCCGTTGTCAAAGTATTTAGTGTTTACAAATCGTACGCATTAGCAGTCTACTAGAAACAGACTTGCACTGCAGTTAGTCTGCTTGGCTAGACTGCAGTCAATTATTCTACATCTGCACAAGACAGAGTGAAAGCAGTGTGCATTGAACTGTCAGACTGAATTACAGACTCAAACTGTATCTGATCTGTCCCACAGTGAAAGCAGTGGAAAGACATGCCCGCCGAGGGCTAAGGAGAGCATTTACACAACATGTTTTAATCAAGCATTTTAAATTTAATCAATTATAACTGAAGAACCACATCCATTAGGAGACAAAAAAGGAAGCGGGCCACGGACAAAAAATGCGCTCTGATTAATTGGGGCCCCCCATTTACAGATCCCTCTGTTCTCTCTGTTCATCCCTCGAGTTGCGCAACAAGAGCTTGAAAAGTGTCTCTCCACATTTGCCTTTCCCCACTCCTCTTGCTTTCTCCCTCTCACCTGCCCAATTAACTGTCAGCTGAAGCCATTTACGCTTCTATATTTCATGGGAGACTGAATATTAAAATTCTGCCAAAGCTGCCACAACCCTAAAAGGATACACAGTGTTTGACTGGGCTCTCTGTGGATGACAAAGGCATGCTGGTCCAACACTGAGAGGAAGTGACAGGGGCTTGTACAGGCAAATAATCAAATATGTATTCATGTATTATGTACACAGTGCTACTGACTCTGTGTAGAATATCAATGGGTGCATATGTGGAGCATAAAAACAGTTCTGGCTAATCCTTCACTGAAAATCTAAATCAAGTTGAAAATTATATCTGATACAGTTAGCCGAGGGTATGAAGGTCTAAGGAGCTAAAAAACTGGAAACACCTGAAAGAGTGTAAAAAATACAGAGTTCAAAAACAAGAAAGGAGGTACATATTCTTTCTTTCTTTGGAAATGTATTGCCTGTTTTGATCAGCCATCAGGGAACAGACACTGAATCACTATCATCCGCTATGAAACACTTAATCACATGGAAAAAGCTGGAGAGGCTTTTATCCATCATCAATTCAAAGCTACAATGATTTGCGCCTATTTTCTGATTGCCACCATTTACCTCTGCAAGCCAGTTGTGTTCATCGCCCATGACAAATTTACTTCAAAGGAAGCCTCCATCATGACCCATTTTCCCTTCCACCAACAGCTGAGCTTTCGCCCAATAAGGCACAAAGCGGGAATTTTCCCAGGAGTCCCTGTGCTTCAAAAGCTGGTAAGGCAAACGAAAGGCTACTGTTCTGTGGCAGCCACATGAGGCAGAATTGGAGGCGATCATTTGAGGCAATGCTAACATTATGAATTTAAAGATAATATGAAGAAAGATCTTGTACGGTTTCTCAAAAGTACCACTTTGATTCATTAGTGCCTCATTACAGCTGAACAAACACAAGCTGCATTCATGCTGCACAAGATAACCAAGATAGATGTGATGAGCACAAATACAATGAAGAGGCACTCCATACGATAGGAGGAGAAAAAGCAGAAAACATGGCTTTTATACCCACTGAATCACTTTCTTTTTCATAAACACATGTGACCAGTGACTCATCCTGTTTTTCTTCTACCATGATGAAAACTCCAGGTCCATTCAGAAAGGGGCACAGAGAATGAACGAACCTAATTGAAAGTTTTATACTGAAAATTTTTGGTCACTTCAAGTCAGATCTGTGCTGCAACCACACATTAATATATTGTATAGGAAAATAATGGAGATCAAAACATAACAACATGCTCTATAACAAGGTGAGATAAATATTTGTGATAGCATAAGACACTTTAAAGGGTTGCTTACACAACAAATTACATTTCATTCCCTAATGTACTAGGGTGGAGGCAGAAATGTCTGATACATATTTAAATACTTGTGTAAATTAAATGCCAAAACTGTCTGCATGGTTAGTTACCAGCAGAAGCAAAGGTGAAGATATGTTCTTTTCAAACAACTGAACCACTCAACCTGAAAAACTGTCATTTTAATAGTCAAAGTTGCAGAGAAGCGATGAGTGTCAGCAGCTTTGTTAAACAGCCGTTTCTTAAAGTAGTTAGTTTTTTATAATTATTGTTAGGCTTTGTCTTAAAAAGCCTTGGTATTAAATATTTGGAGTATCACACTGTAAGCACCATAGGCTGATTCCTTATAAGAAAAATTCAATATCTTGGCTGATATTGTAAATCCAGCATAATGTACATTTCCGCAGCAATAATTCCTCAGTATACTCATTCTACTCTGACACGCAGACGTACTAATATGCTGCTTTCTCTTTCTAATTGAAATACTGTTTTCAGTCACTAATAATTTGCAATCTTTTCTACTTTGCTGTTCTTTCAATCAGTATTGAGTGACTGCCAATGACACTTAACACTGGCAGAAACAGGAGGGAGAATGCAACTTGAGCTGCTGGAAGGTTTTTATGTAAAACATTTGTACAGGATGTGTTGAGTTTCACTGACAGAAGCTCATCAGCGAGAGAGAAAAACATCAAAATAGGATTGATTTGCTTTAATTCGTGCATGAAAACAGTATTTCTGTTAAAAAAAACACATAACTGTGAGAGTGTGGTGAGAATGATATTACTGCTGTTGTACTGATAGATTTGGACAAGGTAAACATGGAGGAAATGTTGAGCAAACAGCATCAATGAAATATTAAAATGGGAAAAGATCGGAAAACAGGGAGGCTTCTTACTGAATATGATAAAATACTGTATAAAAATTTGGAATAGAGAAACTTTGAGAGGGTTCAGCTAAAGGCCTAGATCTCTCTGCAGTTGTGGTAAATAAAAGATTTACAGAATGAACCAGAAACCCATTAAAATTATTCACTAATTCCATTTGACCCCAAGGGAGGAAGGAAGAAACTGACATATAGCTGTTAAGTAGAACAAGACTTCTGGGGAATTGGCTTTGATCGACTAATCTAGAAATCTGAAGCAATGCCATTGTGACGAGCAGGCATATGCCACAAGTATGACACCACACGCTCCATCGACAGACAGTAAAAAAACAATCAGTGTGGGGAAAGAAACATTTTCTTACCTATTGCCATCTCTATGATGCTCATTTGGCTCTCTGAGGGGAAAAGGATTTTTGGCGGCTTGTCTGTTAGTGGGGCTGTGAAAAGACAAACAGAAAGAAAGAAAGAGCACATTGAATTCCATATCTTTCTCCCCCATGGACAGTGGGAGTATGATTTATTCATTTAAGACCACAATAAAAGCTGCATTAAAACGGGAACAAATACATGCAAATTTAATATTTGAAGAGTGGACAGAGAAAAATTGGATGAGTTACTATGAATCAGAATTATCAATCCAAAGCTTTAAACATCAATAAATATAGTTTCAAAGCAGCAGGTGCTTCAATACTAATGCTTTTCGTTCCTTGTATAAATGAATGTGTAAGTCATGATACGGCTTGGATGTGGACTACAGTACAAACTGTGCTGTATATACAGTAGCTGTGTAACTACTGAATCGTGTCTGAATTTATATTACATCCTTAGGTAAAAATCATTCACAGCATGGGAAGGTTGAGATCTGCTGTGGGAGATTTGGTATTTTCAGCTGTGTACAGCTAGTATGACTGGAAAATGGGTGTTTCTTGAAAAACCATGAATGCGAGCATAATAACAAAAAGCCATGTGATATATATTGTCAAAAAGTCAGCCATGAGAGAGTTGCTACTTTAAAAATGTATCACAGTTACTTTAGAACAGTTTTCGTCCCAACTCCCTTTGAAATACACCAACACCAATTAGACAGCTGCTGAGTAACAAAAGATGTGCACTTAGAGGCTCCTCATTATAATGATTCCCTAATTGGTTCTAGTCTTCAAAGTGGAATCAGAAAGGTTTTCTTTCTCTGCACGCTTGGAAATTCTCTGAGGGATAGCGCTTGTTTCGGTACAAATGACTTGTGGTTTGACTGGATTGGTGATTGTGGAGCTGACCTTAAAAAAATGGGCGAGTTTTAGTGAGGAGCGACAGAATGAAGGAAGATTTTATAAGTTGACACTGACCTGGATCCTCTATACACTTCACTGATGTGGTGATATAACTCACCACAGCAGAGAGAGTTAGCATGCAGCTATATGTTGATATCGGCTGTTTTGCTAAAATAAAGCCTTCTGGTTAGTTGTCATCCCAATAACTGCAGATTAATGGAGTCTTCCATTTCTATATTCTGGTATTCTTCTCCTTGATAGTGAACTTAATCGGCCAAAATCTCTGGTGTATATGAAGGCTCCTCATTAATATCATCAATTGTAATGATTGTATGAAGATTTATATTTATTGGTAAGTCCTCAAAATGATAGTAAATGGCAGAATGCCATCTGACCATTTTCTTCTTCTGACACCACCTATGGCTCAGGTTTGATTAATCTTAGGCAACTTCATCCACTTGGTTGAGGTTAGGGAAAGATCAGAGTCATGATTAAAAGAGACAAACATTACTGCTGATAGGAAACGGCCTGTGAACAGTGGTGTCAAAGTAACGCTCTGTTGACTCATCTATTTACCGTCACTCCTCCACAGCAGGTTTTGTAGCTCAGCATTACACTACTTCAGACTTTGTCCCTGACATACAAGAGTCATAATTCACACAATTCATTGCTAGAGGATCATGTCAGGTCAATTCACCCGACATTTTATTGACAAATTTTGAGTCTCGACTTGCAATGAAGAAACAAAAACTACTTGATAGTTTACAGTCTATGTAATCAGTGGAAGTCTTCAGTGGAAGACTGTTGTATCTTTGCAGAAAAACAAACCATTTTTAAAAGCAACAAATCAGAGAAACACTGCGATAAATGTTAACCGTGTGCAGACTTTCCAAGCAGACAAGTCTGATGAGCAAATCATCTGAAAATGTCAAATGGTACTGGTGAGATTAAAATAAACAAAAATGGAGGAAACATATATAGTGTGAAAATAATTTGCATTTAGTTTCCTGCTGGTGCCAACTCTGGTGTCCACTCACTCACTGTTTATGAAAAACCTCTCCATTGTTCTGATGTCCAATCAATTGACAGACAAAACCATGACATGGTCGCAAATAAAGGATCATGCAATTTGATGAGGAGTGGGCTGATATCAGAAAATAAATGCCTATGTGAGCTCATTAATTACAAATTCAAAAATGAACCACAGCGAATTATGCCTTTCCCTGTGCCTGGCATGTTTCAATGCTGTATAAAGAAATCTCATTACCTTAATTACCTTTTGCTCGATGAAATATGCTTAGATTATTTTGTTTCATTATGACATGAAAAGAAAAACGAGTTTTTCCACTGATGGTTTGTCTTATATGAGACAGAGAATCTAAAGGGAGAAAATGGTGCACAGGAAGGGATATAGCTGCGTGTATTTATAGTAACATGAAAAGAGAACTCAGCTACGGATACAAACATCAAACCTGGAGCCACAGCTCGTTGCTTACACTGAGCAAGTAAGACTGAAATTATATATTTTGCAGTTGCATTAATGATAAAATAAGAAAACAGATCACTTCAATTTCATAAGATGATACTGAAATATATAAAATAGAATAATTGTGATAATTTACCCAAATCCATAAGATCCACTCCAACTCTGTATAACTGCAGCACTATAAAGTGTTAATATGTTAAATCAGCATTTTAATCACCTCTTCTTTTGAACTATCTGAGATTTCATTGGCCAATTGTTATGCATTATAGAGAGGAACCCCTAGCAACTGCCTCGAGTATCAGCTTGATGTAGGAAAACATAATGGTGAATGAAGTTGCACAATCAATTGCCAGGATGTTATAAACAGGAAAATGGAAAATGCAGCACAGGTTGGAAATAACCTGAAAGCTTTACAGCTGCTTCTGTACTAGCACTAACTGCACTCATCATACCCAGAAATTTAGTCATGTGTTATTAATACAACACAGCTGCACACAGCACATTTATGTTTACCAAACCTACTGGTCTCTGCGACTTGATATGAAAGTGAACACAAAATTTAGACTTAGGTTTAAACCCAGTACAGTATGTGTGAATATATATTTATATATATATATATATATATATATAATATTCTACCAGCAAGGTCACACACTAGCTCGATTATCTTGATAGCTCAATATCATGCAGCCAAGGTCCTGTTCTGAGGTCAGAGAAAGAACATATCTAAATCTAGATATGGGTTTAGTGACTCTATAGTGATCTTACCTTTTGTTGTTTTTTGTCATTTTTAATGTCACTATATTTGAAAAAAATCATACAGTGATTTGATATTTCTTTGTTATTTGCACTTTTTCCAAACATTATGTTAGCATTAAATGATAGGATCTCATTTTTAAAATCTGTCTTACAACAAAAATCACATGGCCATATGAACACTTAAAGAGTCTCATGTTAGCAGGACATTTACGATGCATTTTTCACAACATGTGCTGTGAATTTTTCCAACAAATTACTAAGGGATGACCTCAGGGCAAAGATTTCAAAGATTACCAAAACCTGTTCCAATGTACATTTGGGCATGTGAGTATTGTTACTGTTGTCATATCATATAGTAACACACGGTCTGCTGTAGCAACTCAAGACTGACTTAAGGATGCTGTGTTTTTCCTCATATAATACCCATATAATATTATGCACATCTATTGTAGTTCTCCAAATACTCATAACATAGCCCCATTGGGATTCTCCATAACCAGTCTGTCGGTGTGGGCCAGTGTAAATGGGAGATTCTATCAAGGCCAGAGGGAACACACACTGTTGCTGAGTTATCTACTGTTTCAGCTGAGGGCTTAGTCTCCTATGTCCATTGCCTGTGGTAGTTCCCATTTCCAGAATTACATCTGAGCAAACAGGATCTCTCTATTGTATCTCGATTAAAGGGACAGGACATGCTGTTGACTATGGTAACCTCACTTTGCAATTTAAGCAGAGAAGATGGATGTTTTTCTATTTAAAAAACAGTCGTGCGGACAGGTCTCGAGAATACAGAGACTCTCTCTCTCTCTTTCAGATGTGAATTATTATTTTGACTTGCAGGTTGTGCTGAGCCAGATGAAGGTGAAATCCCAAACCTGGAAGGTAATCAAAGTTGTGGTGTATTTTTAATAAGCTCAGCGAACATGAGGTTGATGTTGGGAAAGTGTGGTGCAAGTTTAAAGCTAAAGGTAACAAAGCACGAGAATGCTGTTTAATTCTAGCAGAGATACTGCCCTTCATCCAAATCAAGGGCACGCTGCTGATATGCTGTTCGTCAGTGGGATCCCACCATGCTAGAAGGCATGCAAACACACACATTCACACACAGACACACAAATTTGAGATGCATTAGTGAATCTGGCTGGTCTTCAACTACAAAACCATAATTCTGTGGTGGGTTATTATGAGTGGGAGTGGGCAGGCTTTTCGCTGAGGGGCTAGAAACACATCCAGCCTGACCCACTTCCCTACACACAAACAGTATAAGCACATTACACACACTTACGCACACGCATTCCTGCACACATAAACATTGAAAAGCCTGATGTTGGTATCAGCTACGGAGAAAATCTTTAAAGTGTCCCTCACAGGCCCTGTGATCTGCTCTCGTTGTGATCACATGATGATGGATGGGGGGATGGAGTAATGAAATAGAAAAAAGACCTCGTTCTCTCCCATTAACTCTACCATCGCCTTCACTCCCTCCACCCCTATCTGTTTGCCGCTTGCTGTAAGTCTTTGTCGCTCTGTCTGTCTGTTGCTCTCAGGGGTGAGAGAGAGGGAAGATGAAAAAGGAGGGAGAGGGTTGTGGTCCTCTGTTCACACCTCATTAAAGCCCACTTCAGCAGACATAGATTAAGAGGAGGAGTAGTGTGTGTGTCTGTGTGTGTTATAGCATGTGTTTGTGAGCGTGAGATCGTTAAAGGAAAGATGCAGCGTGAGTTCCAAGGGAGAAAATAAATGAAAGCAGTTTTAGAGCAACTTGAGAGGCAAACCTTGTTAGTCATACACATGCAAAAGAAAAAAAAAATCCTCATCTTCTTTTGGCACAACCATCTCCCAAGTAACAAATTCGCCCCCTGTTATGTCTCTGGTTCACATTCTTCAGATCATTAATGACAATTGTATTGATGTGAAAACCTGC